CACACACACACACACACACACACACACACACACACACACACACACACACACACACACACACACACAGACTCACACTCACACACACACACACACTCTCACACACTCACCCCTTTCTCTGAAACATTTGCAAACCAAAGCATGTGGGGTTTGAGCTGATAAAGCAGTACTGTATGTGGTAGTTGATGTACTCTTACACTGTGTGGCTGTGAGTTGTTAGAGGAACATGTTCATGTAAATGATGGTTCCTCTGCCTGGACAACTGTGTGAACATCATAAACATGCACTAAAACCACCAAAACAACAGCTGATTCCAACACATGAATAGAAACAAACAGAAGTAATATTATTAAAAACATTGTTCAGGCGAAACAAAAAAAAAAGTAAAGTAATTTAAAAATGAATGAATTGATGAAAGAAGTCACTTTTGCTCAGCAAGGCTGCATTTATTTGCTCAAAAATATAGTAAAAACAGTAATATTGTGAAATATTATTACAAAACAGCTGTTGTCTATGTGAATATCTGTTAAACTGTAATTTATTCCAGTGATGCGCAGCTGTATTTTCAGCATCATTACTCCTGTCTTCAGTGTCACATGATCTTCAGAAATCAGTATACTGATTTGCTGCTCAAGAAACTTTTCTGATTATTATCTTAGTTTTATTCTTATTAAAAGGACAACTTTGCCAATTTATAACTAGCTTTGTATTGTTACAGTGTCAGTAGTAAATGTAAATGAACTGTGCACCTGGACATTAGCAAAAGTCCACCAGACACACTCTGTTACATCCGGTATTTTTTTGCTGGCAAATGAACAGGGCTATCTGTGTGCAGATGGCTGAAAATCAGTGTGGTTTATCTGTTGCTCACTGCCTACAGAACAAATGACTGTTATGAGGCAGATCTTTCTTGTAGTTCAGAAACGTCTTTTAATGAATAGTTCAAAAAGACACTGCCGTGTAAAAGTTCCAGTATGAGCAAAGAGAGATTTCATTTCATGTGGAGGTAAAAGGGACATTATAACTGAAATATACCCCACTGAATCAAGATTGTGATGTCATTAAGGGTGATAGGAGAGACAGCAGGGAGTTTCATGCTCCAGCGTCATGTGACCATTCTACTCAGATCTAAACAGATTTCCTATAGTTGATGAAGGTGTTTTGTGTGTGTGTGTGTGTGTGTGTGACAGGAGCTGTAATCCACGCATAGGGGACATCCTGCAGAAGCTGGCCCCGTTCCTGAAGATGTACGGCGAGTATGTGAAGAACTTCGATCGTGCCATGGAGCTGGTGAGCACGTGGACGCAGCGCTCCGCTCAGTTCAAGAGCGTGGTCCAAAACATCCAGGTCAGAGCCGGCGCACAGACCACAGATGACATGAACTGTGTCCCGCGTGATATATGACCGAACGCAGGCTGCAGTCTGAACACGTGTGTGTGTGTGTGTGTGTGTGTGTGTGTGCAGAAGCAGGAGGTGTGTGGGAACCTGACGCTGCAGCATCACATGCTGGAGCCGGTGCAGCGGATCCCGCGCTATGAGCTCTTACTGAAGGACTATCTGAAGAAGCTGCCCGCCGGAGCTGCAGACCGCAGAGACGCAGAGAGTGAGTGCAGAACACACAGCTCTGTTCACTGCCATAGTCACTTACATTTACATCGAGTTCACTTATTATACACACTATCATACGCCATTCAGTGCCAGATGTCACACTCATTTCTCTTTTGGTCACAACACAGTGGAAAGCCTAAAATCCTGATGCTAATAAGTACTAACACAATTAATAGAAAAATATATGCATTTTAATTTATCTGTTTGTTTAATTTTTTTTATATTTTTTTATATGAATAATTTTATAAATAATATCACAAATCTGAGTTATTATCTATATATATTGTATATAGTGTAAGTCTATTATTGATTTTTCAAGGGATCAAATCAATCAAAACAAACATTATTTAATACATAATGGAATGTTGCGATCAATTAATAATGCAATTAAACATAAATAAGGAGTGTGATGTGGTAAACGGAAAGGAACGTGAAATACCATGAAAAATATGCTTTAAAGTGAAAAAACGTAATTGACAAAAGAAATATATAATGAAATATATACATAATGAAATGTTGCAATCAATAAACACAAGCATAATGAACAGTGAGTGCAAATAAATAATTAGGAGAAATGTATTTATTTATTTATTTATTTATGTAAAATGAAAAACACCACCTGAAATACAACATGTTATACGGCCTGAAATAAAGAATGACACGAAATGCACACTGACATTCAAAAGTTCAATAGTCTGTATGACTTTTAATGTTTTTTTTAGTGGAAGAAGTCTCTTCTGCTCAGCAAGGCTGCATTTATTTGATCAAAAATACAGTAAAAACAGTAATATTGTGAAATATTATTACTGTCACAAGCCGTTACTGTGAGGAGCGAGTATACGTGGAGTAAACTTCAAACTAACAGACTTTAATAAACATCCAATGGACCAGGAACACACGTAGTGGGGAAAGATGACATTCAATACCAGACGAAGGAAGACAGGGCAGACTACACTTTAAATACTGGAGCAAATGAAGATAATTAATAGTGATAGAGGCTATTTACACTTAGTGCAAATAGAAATAGATGCTATTTGCACTAAGTGTAAATAGCAATTAGGTGCTTTTGACACTAAGTGAAAATAGTATTTTTTAGTGCTATATGCTATTTACACTTAGTGCAAATAGCTATAGATTCTATTTATACTATGTTAAAATAGCAGGATATTCTGCTAATTACTTATTGCAAATAGTGGCAATTATCTGCACCTCAGCATTGTAATACATTATAAAACTGTATGCAATAATAACTTGAGTGTAAATTTTAATTATAATTAAAATTATTAAATGGATGCCACCTTATTGGGACACAAGCCCTCCCTGCACCTACCCTAACCCTACCCAATACTTTATTTTAAACTTTTTGATTATTTCCTTCATTTTTATTAAAAAGAAATGCTTTTCTGATGTGATTTGAAATTAAAAAAGGGAGAAAAAAAGTTAGCCAAAAGGTAGATTGGAACCCGGGTCGATTGTGTCAAGAGGAGTAGCTTATGACACACGCTTACCATCTATGCCACTGAATCTGATGATTGAGGACCGTCTTTTGTAATGTTGACGATCCCAATCACACGTTGGTGGGCGGAGTTAGTGTAAATAGCCTCTGCCAACAAGGCGGGCTATTTGCACTTAGTGTAAATAGACACTCCGATTTAAAAAAAAAATTCCCAACAGTTAAACAGTTGCCCACAGAAAAAAACAGATTTTCTATGTGAATATCTGTTAAACTGTAATATATTCCAGTGATGCGCAGCTGTATTTTCAGCATCATTACTCCAGTCTTCAGTGTCACATGATCTTCAGAAATCATTCTAATATGCTGATTTGCTGCTCAAGAAACATTCCTGATTATTATCAATGTTGAAAACAGTTGTGCTGCCTGATATTTTTTGTGGAAACTGTGAAACATTTTATTTTTCAGGATTCACAGATGAACAGAAAGTTCAAAAGAACAGCATTTATTTGAAATAGAATACCGGTATTACTAACCCCAAACTATTGAACAGCAGTGCACCTTTAGTGAAAACTGTGATCACAGTCGTGATGGTGGCTCTAAAGCATCTGAATTAAGTTTTCCTCCGTTTTCCCTTCGCCCAGATCCTTTCTCAGCTCACCCTCAGCCACGGTACAGGGGGCGGAGCTCCTCTCCACGCTCACTCTGTCCACGGCTTTCTCCCTCATGGTGGGCATTGTAGCCAGCTCTCGCACCTGGTCTGATGTCATCAGAAGCTCCGGCACCGCGGCGATCCTCAGCTCTGTCGCTCCTTGCTGCGATGGCTCGTCGGTCGTGGCGGGCTCGGGCTCTCCGTCATCGGTGGGCTCGGGGTTAAGCTCTGCGCAGCGGGGAGATGTTGGGCTGGGCACTGTGTCTGGGTGTGTTCTGGATCGGGGGTAGAGGCTCTCCAGACACCGGATGATTGCCTCCCTCCAGCACAACAGTACGGTGATGTCTGGGAGGTTGATGGGACGGTAGTAGTTGGCCCCGATCCAGAACAGGGAGTTCAGCGCAGTGTCGTCGAATGCCGTTCGAACGGCAAGCTGGCTGAACTCCACAGCATACTCCAAGAAGGGAAGATCTCGGCGGGCTAATGAGGTGAATCGTGCGGTGAGATCCATGGGGGAAAACAAACAAAAGAAACACTTTCAAAAACGACAAAACAAAACGAAGGGGAAACACACCGCTTTCTTTTCTTTGTTGGTCCGGTATTCTGTCACACAACGCTTCTGTTACGGAGACGAAGGCATAAACAAATCCACAATATGAAGAGTAATCCACAATATGAAGAGGGTCTAACACATGGTAACATTCACAATGCCAGACGAAGGAAGACAGGGCAGACTACACTTTAAATACTGGAGCAAATGAAGATAATTAATAGTGATAGAGGCTATTTACACTTAGTGCAAATAGAAATAGATGCTATTTGCACTAAGTGTAAATAGCAATTAGGTGCTTTTGACACTAAGTGAAAATAGTATTTTTTAGTGCTATATGCTATTTACACTTAGTGCAAATAGCTATAGATTCTATTTATACTATGTTAAAATAGCAGGATATTCTGCTAATTACTTATTGCAAATAGTGGCAATTATCTGCACCTCAGCATTGTAATACATTATAAAACAGTATGCAATAATAACTTATTGAGTGTAAATTTTAATTTTAATTCAAATTATTAAATGG